TGATACAATTTCAATCTTGTATACATAGTTTTAAGTTGGGAAAAATTCATAAATAAGGTGTATTCTTTACATCAATTCAAAAATCAGGTTTATAGTTTGAAAATTCAAAAATTAGGTTTTTTTTAATGAAATAATAAATTATTAAATCAATTTATTATTAAATATTTAATTCTAATATAATATAATTAACTCATCCCACATGCACCACCCATACCACTCCAGGGACTATTTCGGCAACCATTCCGACCACCACTCTTCTCCTGCGACTGCTCCGATTCCGGCGATTATTCCGGCGATTATTTCGGTGACCATTCTGGTCACAGATTTACAATTTAAAGTCACAGTTCAAAAATTTTATAGGTCACAATTAATTCGTTGGTCACAAATTTCAAAATTAGTTGGTCACAGATCAAAATTTATAGGTCACACGGTCACAGATTTCCAAATTAATTGGTCACAGATTTTTTACGGTCACAGATTATATAATTTTTAAGTCACAGATNTTATAGGTCACAATTAATTCGTTGGTCACATATTTCAAAATTAGTTGGTCACAGATTAAAATTTATAGGTTACACAGTCACAAATTTCCAAATTAATTGGTCACAAATTTTTTTACGGTCACAGATTATATAATTTTTAGGTCACAGATAAAAAAAATGGTTAATTTCATTGGTCGTATATTTTCAAATTATTGGTCACGGATTATTTTTAGTCACATATTGTTAAATTTTTAGGTCACAGTTAAATACCTAGTCACAGATAACCAAATATTTGATCACATATCACTGCTACTACTTCAGCCACCACTACCACACACGAAGGAGAGATAAAAAAAAAATGGTTGATCCTCCACCTGCACCACCGTCGTCGACTCCGCCACAACACCACACAACTGTCACCACAACAATAACAAAAATCGGACGTTGTCGTCCCCACATCCACAGATCCCCCGCATCCACAGATCCACCTGATGTCGCCCCACATCTACAGATCCACCTGCCGTTTGGTCCACCCACCCAACCCGCTGGCAGCAGCGTCGACGCTGCTGTGTCGCACCAGCGTCGACGCAGCAGCGACACAGCAGTCGCGAACACTGCTGCGACGCAGACAGTAGCTTCGCGACTGCTGTGACAGGGTGGAGACGGGGAGGGAAAAGGGAGGAGAGGAGGGAGAGAAAGAGGTCAGAAGAGAGGAGATGAGGAGAGGGGGAGGCGGCGGGTGAGAGAGGGGTGAGAAATGAAATGACATGAATTAGGGTTTGGGGAGGGGGGTTGGATATATAATATTTAATACTTGATTTAAATATTAATTCTATACCTAATTTTTTATTAAATAAAATTCACATCTGAATTTTGAATTTGAAAAATTAAATTCTTGATTTTTTGTAATTTCANGAGAAGGAGAGGAATGAGGATAGAAGAAAAATGATTTAGGGTTTGTTTTGGATTAGGTAGGTGGGTATTATATTTAATTATTAATTCAATACTGATTTTTGATTAAATAAAATTCACACCTGAATTTTGAACTTGAAAAATTAAATGCCTGATTTTTTGTAATTTCCCTTTTAAGTTTTACTTCCCGTGAGGAACATGATCCATAGAATCCTTAGTAGGCAAACAAGACATTAACTGTCATAAACCCTAATTATATCCCACCAAGAGAAATCAATTTAAAGAAAGAAAATAAACAATCAACAACATGCAAGATTTATAGAGATTCGTTTCAATAGGAGACTACGTCATCTCTCGATACTGTAGTAATTCACCATAATGAAAAAATGTTTATAAGAGAAAAAATCGATCATATCTCCTCCAACTTCTCTTTTCCTCTATTTGATGATAATACATAAAACCTAAGAACCGCTTCCTATTTTTAAGTTAAATTAGGGCTAACTCGAATTTTACAAGGATTTCTATTCCTTCATAGAATTTTATAAGAATATAAATTCCTAAACAGCTCTTAAATAAAATTTTGAGACAATCTCCACAATGACCTCATGGTAGATGTCGATCCGCGACTAGTTTCACGAAGTGACGATAATTATACTCCAAGATGGTTTCTAGTCACACCTCCCCGTAAAGCTAGATGTGAAGAGTTTTTGAGACAACCATCAGTGTTGAGCTTGATTGTTTCAATACCGAGTTTCCTCCAATGTACAATGATTGGTTTGTTTGTCCGTCTTAGAGCTTCGTCTAAATTGCACAAACGTGTTTGGAGCCTTCAATAAATTTATGCATAGAATAGAGTATGCTTTTAAGAATGGTAATTCCTCCTCCGGTCGAACCTCGAAGACAAATATTGTTTGAATGATTATTTAATTTGTTTTACAAGTTACATGAACTAATTGGTCAAAAGTCCTTCCATTGGTGTGCATCTGGCTTCTTTGGGATGAGCACCAAATTCAAAAGTTAGAAACAAAACCCATGAAATCAGGATGCGATATCAACACACATTTTATTAAAACTCTTAAAAATATATATATATTGACAACGTGAAACAGCTGTAAAAGAACTCCACTATATTCATTGACCAAATAATAATAATAATAAATCTACAGATGCATGAAGAGACGGATTCTCTTCAAGGAATAAAAAATACGACGGCATGCACCACAGACGCTCTTCTTTTTTTCTTCTTCTTCATTGATTAATTTTATATCCCTCATTATTTTTCTTGACTATTATNNNNCCTCATTATTTTTCTTGACTATTATTTTGACTAGAAATTTGATTTTTCGATAGCTCTCAAGAACACAATGAATATTAATGTTAGGCCAAGAATACACGATATTAGACCAAGAAACAAGAAATACTAGAACCTTCTCTGAAATAAAGTGCAGAAAGTTAAAAGAACACAATCGATATATTTTGGCGTATGCTCCGGAGGTTTGATGACCACTTCTAACACCTATATCTTCCTTTGAGCATCCAAAAGTTGGATTATGTTCGGTTCCACTATAACGCCCAAAATGACAACAAAAAGTTACAATAATGTTCCGTCAATCACAAAGAATAGTACAGAACACTTATCTCTCTCAAAATACAGCAATCGATCTACACGAACCACAAAGAATCACTTCAAAACCTCAAAATCAACAAGTCAAAAGCACAAACACTTCCTAATAGATATTCACTCATAATATCCTTACAACGGGGCTACAATATTACATATCACCTTCTCAAATCAACAATTTGAGAAAGAATTACAAAGAGATCGAAAACACAAAGAAAACTCTTAGAACGACGCTCTCATATAGAGAACAAAAATGAAACCCTAAAGCAAAACTCCAGAATGCCAGATGAATATGGCATGGTAAAATAACCATCCAGAATTCAAACCAACATCCAAGATTCATCCACGTGTCGCAATCCAGTTGAAAGTGTGATTTTATAAAGTCGCATTTGCCAAACACGTTTTCTCAAATTATGGGAGCATCTATTGAATCCAGTTCAATTCCCACAATTGAAGTATATAGTTTGCCTCAATCGAATTATTGTCGTTGTAATCGTATTTTTAATTGCGTGACACGATACTTCTATATACAACCTTTGATTAAAGTGATGAATTTTATTTTAAAAAATAAAAAATCCTATTTGAACTATTTTATTATCTTGACAATAAGGTCTAGTGCAGTTGAATTGTAATTACTTTATTCAATGATTGGCATCTAATATATAAGTTGATTTTGCCTCTAAATGTAAACTAGTGGATGCTGAGTTTGTCTATCAGGATGCACGCGATAACTCAGGTCAAATGATTTATTAAAAATAAATATTGGGTTACAACTAAATAGTAAATATTTTAACTAGGTCAAATGATTTATTTTAAAATAAATATTGGGTTACAACTAAATAGTAAATATTATAAATCGAGATAGGACAAATCAAGATATGTTGGAGATACGTTTAATTAATTATGCAAGATTTATGAGTTAAATTATAATATTTTTCCCTAGATTGTACCCTACCATTACCATTAAGAAATTGTTTAAGGACTACATTAATTATTAAATGCGGAGCCTTTTTTTTTTTTTTCCTTTAATGACAATGAGTTTGTCTTCTTCCACTTGATTTGTACACTTGTTTTTTACTTTTAATTTTCTATGTATTTTAGAAGGCGAACGAATTTTCTTTTCACAAGAGATTAAGTTCTAATTCAAGAAATAATGAAGAGCGTTCTACGGAGCAAATGGAACACTTCTTTACTAAATGCCGCTGCTTATTTTTAACATAGAGACCGTGCACTTCATTACTAAATGGAACGTAGAGATCGAAATGCATTTTTTCGGCTCTAAACGATGACAACAATGGTGGTAGAACGTTCTAGAGAGTAAAAACCACAATTTTATGACAGGAAACTATAGATGATAACCAATGGATTATGGATTATTTTCTTGTATATAATTTTTTGTTATAGATATTTGTATCAATGAAATCTTGACCGTTTGATTAAAACAATCATATTCATCCATTCAAAATGGCTTTGTATATAGATGAATACTCATTTGTACCTAACAAAGTTATACATTGTAAATTTTTCACATACAATATAATCCAAGATTTTTTTTTTTTTTTCAATTTTTAATATTTCTGTCATTTGCTAAATTTTTGTACACGGTCTGTCAGGGATGAAAAATTGTTGAGACGTGACATTAAAGTCGTATAATGCTTAAACTCTACATGTCTATATTGGCTAGCATCAGCTTAAGTTATTCACCGAAAAAAAAAAAAAAGAAAAAACATTGCAAAGTGAAAATTATAAGACTTGGAGCATATAAATAAAAAAACAATTGATATTTAATAGCAGGATCAAGAAGCTTGCAACTAATACATAAAACAACTTATAAATGGAGAGAGACTTGAACTGCTCAAATTCTCCCACTTTATTCCAAAGTCCTATAACAAGAGTCCTACTAGAGACTACCAAATCACATAATAGACAGATTGCCATTGATTCTACAAAAACTAGCTGAGTATGTTCATCTAATCTTCTCCCATCTAGGCTGACTCCACACAAGAGAATGCCAACACTGCACTACAACCAACACCTCCCACTTCAGCCTCCTCCTCTGCCACCTCCTTCCAACATTGCAAAACAGTTTTGTTGGGATTGCCCACCCCGCAACCCCTCGCCTTGGCAGTAAAACATCGATACACCACGCACCTGCCACCTAGCAAATGCTGCACCACTCCACTTACACATGCGTAACCTTCCATGTCACCGACACATAACTCGTCAGCACAAGCATATTCTGGCAAAGTGATAGCTATGCTAAAATCAACAGGCTCAAAACACTTCAGCACCCTCTTGACCAAAGGCTCAAGCTTAATAGACCCAAAGTCCACGCCCATAGCCTCGTAGCTTGCATAGCTGAACTCATGCTCTGGAGTCACGTGCACTGTAGAATAAGCTGTACCCTCAATACCATTCATCGAGTACCCACACGGGTCAAACTCAAAGTCGCAAATCTGATGACTTGGAATTATCTTGTTGATTTCAGAATTTTTGGTCATTTCACTATTGCCCGAGTTGTCTCCTGATTCTTTGAAAAACACAGTTGCTTTTTTCCTATCCAGGCCAGTCATGCACATTTCCAGATTAATCCCAGCGTTTGAATCATTTGGCATCACAGGACCAATTGATGCCACATAGACATGCCAATTTCGATTCGGACAATTTGGATCACCAAGTAAATAAGCACTGCCATTTTTGAAAAACGAGTTCAAAAATGCCACTTCTTCTGTAAAGCTACGATGAGGAGCAGGTTGGACATTTTTGAAAATGAAGGTGCCACGTGAGTAA